AGCTTCATTTCCAGAGCCTATTTGAAGGTAAGCCCTTAGAAATCCTCCATCGTCTCGACGCAAGTGACAAGACGTACCTGTCGATGAAGTCAGCATTGATGAGGGCGTACGGGCTGACGGTCGACGAAGCAAAACTTCAGTTCAATCGTGCGATGATGCAAGACAAAGAAACTGCCGCTCAGTTCCTGGTTCGTTTGTCAGGGCTACCTGGATCAATGGCTGGAGAAGGATGGACGCCGAACACGAAGGAAGGTCTCAGAGATTTGGTGTTACGGTCTCAGCTGGAGAAGTCATGTGTCTCAGGATCTCGTTGCCCAATTTAAGATTCACAAGACCAAGACAGCAGAGCAGATGGCTGATAAGGCGGATGCCCATTTTTCTGCCTTTTGGGTATCATACGCGTAAGCAGTGGAAGAAGCCAGTCTCTTCACTGGGTCAGCAGCAGAGAAGGCAAGACTTACCTTTGCAGCAGCAGCAGCAGAAGTTACATCCCACCTTAACTCACAAGAATTCTCCGCAGTCGAAACCACAGCAACAACGTAAGTATCCTTGGCGTGCAGTGAATCAAGAAAGTCATGATTACAGGCAAAAAGGAGCAGCTGCCTGTATGAGTGAAGAAGACCCATCACCCCAGTCTCCGGAAACGTCAGAGGTCAAACATCAAACAACCTGCGTGCACAACTTTTGACTATCTGCTACCTCCACGGATCCTGATAAGCAGAACTCTCTCCTTGTTAAGCCAGGGTCAGTAGGAGGTGTTCGGGTAAGTGTCTCAGAGAGAACGGTTCGTCAGGTGTGTGTTGTGAAACGAAGGTATGTTCTTCCTCAACAATATACTGGGAGGAGGATTTACTATTAAAATGATTGATGGATCCTTTGTTAATGTTCCAGAAGCAATCATACACGTAGACAGTCCGTTCTTTACAGGAAAAATTACAGCAGCCGTGATGGTCAATCCAATATTCGACGTTATCATCGGAAACATCAAAGGAGTTAGAAATAGTTGTGGTGCTGATGCTGCAACGCAAACAGGTTGTGTCGCCATTACCAGAAGCATGGAGAAGAGGAAGGAGAGCTTACTCCACTGACGTCGGTAAGTGACCTGATAAATTCTCAGGATATTGTACAGGAGCAGAAGAGCGACTCCTCATTAGAATCAGTGCGAAGGAAGCTGGCGGAGAAGTCTCTGAACAGGTCTTTTAATGAAGAAACCTGTTTCATCGAGAGGAAATAAGAGGATCTACCGAAGGGTTCTGGCGTTAAATGGAGAGGAGCGTCTCCAGTTCGTCGTTCCAGCGAGGTATCGTCTTGCTGTTTTCCGGCTGGGTCACCACTCTGCTCTCGGAGGCATGGGTCAGAAGAAAACGCTTGACCGTATTCAGGCGGAGTTCTTTTGGCCTGGCATGGGTCAGGAGATATCAAGGTTAGTCCGCTCATGTGATATTTGTCAAAAGACCAGTGACCGCGGACGCGTGAAACCTGCGCCATTGAAACCTATGCCGCTGATCTCCGAACCGTTCGAAAGAGTCGCCGTGGACATCGTGGGACCAATCCACCCGAGAGCAAGCGATGGATGTAAGTACATCCTCACACTCGTGGATTTCAGCACGAGTGGCCAGAAGCAGTGCCGCTCAGAAATATAGATGCTGTCACCGTCGCCGAAGCCATGGTGGAAATCTTCTGCAGGATCGGTATTCCCAGGCAAGTGTTGAGTGATAGAGGGACACAGTTTACCTCTGCAATGATGGAGGAAGTGCTCAGGCTATTGTCGATTAAGGGACTAAAAACAACTCCATATCATCCGATGTGTAATGGTCTCTGTGAGAGGTTTAATGGGACACTTAAAAAGATGCTCAAGAGGATGGCAGCAGAGCAGCCGAAGGAGTGGCCCCGCTATCTTGCACCACTTCTCTTTGCTTACAGGGAAGTTCCCCAAAGTTCTTTGAAGTTCTCGCCCTTTGAACTCGTTTATGGGAGAACAGTACGAGGACCTCTTCAGATTTTGCGTGAGCTGTGGGACGATAGTGGAGTAGACATCGAAGTCAAGACAACATACACTTACGTCATTGACCTGGCAAATCGTCTTCAGTCTACTTGCGATCTGGCTAAGCAAGAGTTGCTGAAAGCTCAGAGACGCAGAAGGCATACTACGACAGGAAAGCAAGGTACGTCTGTTCAAGGAAAATGCCTTATCCTCTTACCCACTTCTCATAATAAGTTACTAGCACAGTGGAAGGGCCCTTATGATGTTGTGGATAAAGTGTCTAATCATAATTATTTAATACAAGTGGGAAATCAACAAAAACGATTCCACATAAACATGCTGAAGGAATACTTCACAGCTGATACAGGAGGTGCGTCCTATGTTGAGAGAGTTGTGGCGAAGCAAGACGCAAAGCTTTGCATAACAAGAGAAGGGGCCAACAGTTGGTCTTTGCAACAGCAGCAGTATCTCGAGTATGTTAAAGCCTTCTTTTCGCAGAAAACCTCGAAACTCGGCAGTACTTCCACCACAACGTACATCTGTGCCGCTGCGGTAATTCCAGAAAGCGAGTGTGACGACGGACCCGTCACTGCACAATCGTGGCAGACCGAGACCATCGATGTAAGAAAGAGTGACACCTTAAAACCAGAGGAAAGAAAACAGTTAAGATGCTTATTGAACCAATTTAGTTACATATTCTCAGATAGACCAAAGGTTGCAAGGGTTAATTACCATCATATCGAACTAACTAGCTCTAAAGTTGTGAGACAGAAACCTTATCCCATACCTATGAGATTAGTGGACGCAGTAAAGAAAGAGATCGAGGATATGGCAGATGCGGGAATCAATTGAAAAATCTACGTCCCCCCTTCTGTAGTCCTATAGTGGTAGATCTTTTCTTGTAATATTACCTTGTTCGAATCAATCTCATGATAAAATTGGCTCAGTTACTCTTTTTCTGCAATCTCTACCACTAACTTAGACTTACACAGAAGGGGGACGTAGATTTTTCAATGATTCCCGCATCTGCCATATCCTCGATCTCTTTCTTTACTGCGTCCACTAATCTCATAGGTATGGGATAAGGTTTCTGTCTCACAACTTTAGAGCTAGTTAGTTCGATATGATGGTAATTAACCCTTGCAACCTTTGGTCTATCTGAGAATATGTAACTAAATTGGTTCAATAAGCATCTTAACTGTTTTCTTTCCTCTGGTTTTAAGGTGTCACTCACTTTCACATTATCGATGGTCTCGGTCTGCCACGATTGTGCAGTGACGGGTCCGTCGTCACACTCGCTTTCTGGAATTACCGCAGCGGCACAGATGTACGTTGTGGTGGAAGTACTGCCGAGTTTCGAGGTTTCTGCGAAAAGAAGGCTTTAACATACTCCTGCTGCTGTTGCAAAGACCAACTGTTGGCCCCTTCTCTTGTTATGCAAAGCTTTGCGTCTTGCTTCGCCACAACTCTCTCAACATAGGACGCACCTCCTGTATCAGCTGTGAAGTATTCCTTCAGCATGTTTATGTGGAATCGTTTTTGTTGATTTCCCACTTGTATTAAATAATTATGATTAGACACTTTATCCACAACATCATAAGGGCCCTTCCACTGTGCTAGTAACTTATTATGAGAAGTGGGTAAGAGGATAAGGCATTTATCACCAGCCTTGAACAGACGTACCTTTGCTTTCCTGTCGTAGTATGCCTTCTGCGTCTCCTGAGCTTTCAGCAACTCTTGCTTAGCCAGATCGCAAGTAGACTGAAGACGATTTGCCAGGTCAATGACGTAAGTGTATGTTGTCTTGACTTCGTGTCTACTCCACTATCGTCCCACAGCTCACGCAAAATCTGAAGAGGTCCTCGTACTGTTCTCCCATAAACGAGTTCAAAGGGCGAGAACTTCAAAGAACTTTGGGGAACTTCCCTGTAAGCAAAGAGAAGTGGTGCAAGATAGCGGGGCCACTCCTTCGGCTGCTCTGCTGCCATCCTCTTGAGCATCTTTTTAAGTGTCCCATTAAACCTCTCACAGAGACCATTACACATCGGATGATATGGAGTTGTTTTTAGTCCCTTAATCGACAATAGCCTGAGCACTTCCTCCATCATTGCAGAGGTAAACTGTGTCCCTCTATCACTCAACACTTGCCTGGGAATACCGATCCTGCAGAAGATTTCCACCATGGCTTCGGCGACGGTGACAGCATCTATATTTCTGAGCGGCACTGCTTCTGGCCACCTCGTGCTGAAATCCACGAGTGTGAGGATGTACTTACATCCATCGCTTGCTCTCGGGTGGATTGGTCCACGATGTCCACGGCGACTCTTTCGAACGGTTCGGAGATCAGCGGCATAGGTTTCAATGGCGCAGGTTTCACGCGTCCGCGGTCACTGGTCTTTTGACAAATATCACATGAGCGGACTAACCTTGATATCTCCTGACCCATGCCAGGCCAAAAGAACTCCGCCTGAATACGGTCAAGCGTTTTCTTCTGACCCATATGACCTCCGAGAGCAGAGTGGTGACCCAGCCGGAAAACAGCAAGACGATACCTCGCTGGAACGACGAACTGGAGACGCTCCTCTCCATTTAACGCCAGAACCCTTCGGTAGATCCTCTTATTCCTCTCGATGAAACAGGTTTCTTCATTAAAAGACCTGTTCAGAGACTTCTCCGCCAGCTTCCTTCGCACTGATTCTAATGAGGAGTCGCTCTTCTGCTCCTGTACAATATCCTGAGAATTTATCAGGTCACTTACCGACGTCAGTGGAGTAAGCTCAACCTTCCTCTTCTCCATGCTTCTGGTAATGGCGACACAACCTGTTTGCGTTGCAGCATCAGCACCACAACTATTTCTAACTCCTTTGATGTTTCCGATGATAACGTCGAATATTGGATTGACCATCACGGCTGCTGTAATTTTTCCTGTAAAGAACGGACTGCCTACGTGTATGATTGCTTCTGGAACATTAACAAAGGATCCATCAATCATTTTAATAGTAATCCTCCTCCCAGTATTGTTGAGGAAGAACATACCTTCGTTTCACAACACACCCTGACGAACCGTTGTCTCTGAGAACACTTACCCGAACACCTCCTACTGACCCTGGCTTAACAAGGAGAGAGTTCTGCTTATCAGGATCCGTGGAGGTAGCAGATAGTCAAAAGTTGTGCACGCAGGTTGTTTGATGTTTGACCTCTGACGTTTCCGGAGACTGGGGTGATGGGTCTTCTTCACTCATAGAGGCAGCTGCTCCTTTTTGCCTGTAATCATGACTTTCTTGATTCACTGCACGCCAAGGATACTTACGTTGTTGCTGTGGTTTCGACTGCGGAGAATTCTTGTGAGTTAAGGTGGGATGTAACTTCTGCTGCTGCTGCTGCTGCAAAGGTAAGTCTTGCCTTCTCTGCTGCTGACCCAGTGAAGAGACTGGCTTCTTCCACTGCTTACGCGTATGATACCCAAAGGCAGAAAAATGGGCATCCGCCTTATCAGCCATCTGCTCTGCTGTCTTGGTCTTGTGAATCTTAAATTGGGCAACGAGATCCTGAGGACATGACTTCTCCAGCTGAGACCGTAACACCAAATCTCTGAGACCTTCCTTCGTGTTCGGCGTCCCATCCTTCTCCAGCCATTGATCCAGGTAGCCTGACAAACGAACCAGGAACTGAGCGGCAGTTTCTTTGTCTTGCATCATCGCACGATTGAACTGAAGTTTTGCTTCGTCGACCGTCAGCCCGTACGCCCTCATCAATGCTGACTTCATCGACAGGTACGTCTTGTCACTTGCGTCGAGACGATGGAGGATTTCTAAGGGCTTACCTTCAAATAGGCTCTGGAAATGAAGCTTCTTTGTGGCTTCGTCGAACTGATAGAGCTCTGCAAGATCTTCAAATCTGTGAATATAGGGCTCAATACGCTCACCTTCTTTAAATGCAGGTAACCTGATGTGCGGCAAGGTGGATGGCTGGGCAGGGGAGCCCCCGTTCGTCTCCGTCTGCACACGAACCATTTCCAGCTGATGCCGGCGATTCCTCTCCTCCTCCTCTATCTTCATCTGCTGCATTTTCAGCTCATGTTCACGCTGCCTGTCCCGCTCTTCTCTTTCCTCCTTTTCACGCTCACGCTGCCTCGCTCGTTCTTCTCGCTCCTCAGCCTGACGTTTACTCACGTAATCTACAATAGCCATGGGGTCCTCAAGCCCCATCAGCTTAGCCTCCTCTACATAAACTCCTGCAGACATCTTGCTTTCTGAAGAAAAGTCTAAAGATGCTTGAAAAATTACACTACACACCACTTGTCACTATAGAATCACTATCATTTAAGCACACAATTACTCTCGTTGTCAAGTCCCTGTTCGGGCGCCACTTTGTCAAATTCTTATCAAAGTCTTTCTTTCTAATCAAGATTTATATCAGTCTTCTTTATCAAAATGTTCAAAGTCTTTAATTGTTCATGATTTACGTGTTTTCCTTTATACACTTATTTATAATCCCGGTTCATTCTTGACAAGATCTGACAATTCTTTCGTATCTTATGCATAAAGTTATTCATTGAATTAACTTCAGAATAATAGAAATTCAGAGTTTATAATCTAATTCAAAGTATATATTATATATATATATCTCAATGTTTTCTTTTTCCATAGTTCAAAGTCTCATGTTAATTGTTTGTTTATATTTAAAGGGATCTTAGACACAGGGAGAGTAATGTAAGTTTTATTTATTTTAGTTAATAATAATTTCAAAGATAATGAAATTTCGAGAGTACGTTTCTTTTCATTATTGTTCGTTCACGGCACGGTACGTACTTCTGTGGTTAACATTCCTTTACTCACGTCAATTATTTTCAACTGTATGAGGTTGAGGCTGAGGCTGAGGAGATATTCAATTTCCGATGACGGCGATGCGGCCTGCAGGTCGCCGATCAGCAGTGATTTTCTAAAATCAGTTTCAGCTCAGGTTGCTACCTTTTCTTCCGTGAGTCGTGAGAGAGAGTGAACGTGACTCGTGCCCACCTGCCCGTTTGTCACGCGCATGCGCACAGGTACCCAGAGTTGCCACATGTCGCTTGGGTTTCCATGGCAACGAGTAGTTGTCAGGTGTTCCTATTTATTTCTATTATTTAAATGAATGTCCAAATGAACACCTGGACATATATATATATATATATATATATATATATATATATATATATATATATATTTATATATATATATATGTATATATATATATATATAATATATATATATATATATATATATATAATATATATATATATATAAACATATACACACACACACATAAGTATATACCAATACGAGTAGATATTTCCTTATGGAAATTATTATCTTTTCATTCTTATCTTTATTTTTATTGATATTTTTATTAGCATTATCATTATTATCATGAGAACCATCATCAGTACATTTATTAGCAGTATCATCGTTGCTATCATCATTTCCACTTTATACTCATTATCACCATTAACTATTAGCATTATCATTATTATAATTTTTATAATCATCATTTTTATAACAATCATTTTTATTATTATCATCATTATCATCATCATGATCATCATCATCAATACTTAAGTACTAGTAATGATGAAAAATTATTAAATAGCCTCAATGTTAAGAACGGGAAATGAATATTAATGTGGGTCGATACGAGGACGTATACGTTATATTTCATTAGTAAAAAAAACATATTTCTCAAGAACAGATATTAGGATAAATCAAAACATATGGCAGAAGTTGACATTTTCTCAGTTCTGTCTATTTTGATCGACGCCAAACCCTTTTATCTTTTATTATTATTTTTTTAACATTTACTTCTTTACCTACACCTAAACTTAAAACTTAAACCCAAACCAGTGTCAAAAACCTGCCAGATCTTCCATGTCTTGGGTTAGCAGTGACGGCTCATTCCGGAAATAGCAAAGTTTAAATGCTAGCTCTTTCGTAAATTGATACAGGCTGCCAAGCGGTTAGGCCCAAGCGGTTGCTAGGCTAAACTTACGTGGTATCCGAGGCAGGATATTGTGAAGGTCTTATCCTACTTATAAAGTTATTAAAGTTGATGCTCGTGAATTATTTAGCACGGATTATTTTGCGTGGTTTAGTTTTAAGCTACGTTTTTTTTTTGTTTTTTGTTTTAATCGCTTTTATTTATATAAAGGAAAATAAAGGAAACGAAATAGAGATTGATATAATTTTTTGGATTCATGTAATTGTTATTATTTATGATAATAACACGAAATACACACGAGGGTATGGGCATAAAGAAAAAAATATGAAAAATATAAGTAAAGAAAGAGAGACAGATTAGAGGAAAAAAGAAGGAGAAGAAGCAAAGGAAAGAAAAGACAAGGAAATAATGAGTAAGAAGGAGAAGAGAGAGAATAAGAAGGATAGAAAAATGAAGAAAATAGAGAAGGAGACGAAGGTTAAAGAGATAGAAAAGAAAAAGAAAAAAGAATGTATCCATATGTGAGAGTACACTACAAAGATTCACTGAACAAATGATATTATATAACCTGATGAGATAGCACGACATATTGTCCCGCATTAAGACAAATACGCCATAGAAACATTTAAGCGAAAGCAGCTGAGTGATTATCATAATGTTGGAGCTTGCGCCCTAGATTAGAGAATTTTGCGCAGCTGAAAGTGTGGTAAATCTTTTGTGTTTGTGCTTGGGGTAAATGCGTGGGATAATGTCAATGAGGAAGATGATGATGTCGTACACTGCAAGTTCCTAATTTATGTATCGGTAGTGCTAATAATATTTATAATAAGAGTTGCGTTCTCATGGCTAACGTCTTATGTTTATTGATAGTGTACTGTAATTTCAGCTCTTTACTCCTATTTGAAGGTGAGTATAGGTAGCTTCTGTTACGAATAGTTGTGAAAATACTTATGATGCATGATGCATATGTTTAGCGATTAAACTGTTTTCATGTCATCTTTTCTTTTCCTTTTTAAAGATTCAAAGTGCATCGACTGGACACGTGTCAGACAACTTGTTTACTATTTATAACCAATATTATCATGCATGACGCAAAAGAGAGGTCTATATCATGGATAATCAATATATTTGTCTTTTAGTAGATAATGAAGAAATGTGGATGGAACTGACTGTGAGTAATATAAATAAAATCTCGTATAATAATCTGAAGTTATTTTATTGTGATCATTCTTGCGTTTATGTATATACGTTATTCATATTTTGTTTGGATTTGACTGTCGTTTATATGATTTCATCCTCTCTCTAATTGCAACAATACTGACATAACGTCATGAATTCTGTGCTGTCTGCTTACATTGATCCATCGTCGTCTCTCTCTTCTCTTACTTCCCTCATCTTCTCTGTTCTCCTTAACTCGTCATTACTCTCTTGGTTTCATCTCTCTTCTCTCTCTCTTCTTCTCCTCTCTTCCTCCTCTCATCTCCCTCTCCAATAGTTCATCTCAATCCATGCTTCAACCTCTGCATTAATACAACACAATCAATGATTTAAATATTCAACGATCACATGACT